AAAATCTGAGGAAAAGGAAAGGAAGGAAAATGACTGGGTCATTACAGCATATGCTAAATGCAATCGTGTTCCCTACGAAAGTGGCGTTATCCATTTATTGATTTTTAGTTCATAGTTGTATAGTTGTTCATTTCTTTATTTCCTTTGTAGTTCATTGCTTGGGACTAGCAATATTTAAGTTTGGGGGTGTGATAAGTGCTGAAAAATGCGCATTTAAACCCCTTAAGCTTGAATGTTCTAGGACTTTATTCTATCTTATTTTCCCATTTTAGTCTAATTTCATGATATTTCCCCTTTTCAAGCACTTATCCCCAAAATAAGTCAATTCAGCTGAATTAGAGCATAAAAGATGCAATCTCAAGCTTAGTGGAAGAAAGGAGCAAAGTGGAAGCAAAGTGGTGGAAAACAACATTCTTTAATCGATCAAACCAAACTTCAATCGATCTCATAGTGATCGTTCCAACCATGCCAAGATGGATCGAGCCTCTTATCCTTATCCTTAGGAAATTTCCCTCTTTGATCGATCCAACATTACTTCGATCGATCGGACATTTTTGATCTTATCCCCACCTACCACTTTTGTCCTTTTCCCAAAATATCCCGAAAATATCTCAGCTTTGTCATTATTCCAAAAAGGTGCCGCCATAGCTCGATAGATCAAACCTCCTCAAGTGCAAGAAAAATAGAGTTCTAGCCAATTAAAAGGTGTGCTCGTGCTGCAATCATTTGGAGGTCCTAGTGCACAAGGTCTGACCATTGGTTGTGGCATTTGAGCTACCTATATAAGGATTTTGGGCCATTTTACAACATATACATTTTTAGAAAGGAACCATTACAAGAGAGGTGGGAGGAGTTTAGAGATTAGAGAGAGATACGCACCATTTGGGAGAGTTCTTCCACTCATATAGGGTTTCCATCAAGGAGAAGAAGATCATTCCTACCATGGAGATAGCCTTTGAGGGTTAGATGACTACATCAATGAGTGGCTAAACCATTCTTTTGGGGCTAGAGATAGCCCTAAGTATGCCTCCTAAACTTTGATGTTTTGTAATTAATGGGGATTTGTGTTGTATTTCTTATCTTGACATTTGATATATATATATAAATCTTGTTTTTACAACGATTTGTGTAGTTTAATACTTCTAATTGATCATTTCATTCTATTCATATGTCTATGTATGCTAGAATAGATGTTCATGTGTTTATCTCTAGGTTGTGTGACATTGATACATGTTTATGTGTGTTGATATCATGAATCTAGTGATGTTCAAGGCATGGTGCTTAAATGGAATACTCTTGATGTTTATTTGATGGTTTATACTTATTTCTAGATGGATTGTGCCACACCCTTAGTTTAATTAGTTTAATCTTCATATCACTAGCTTAGTTGTAGTGTAGTTGCCTTACTTTCTTAGATAGGTGGACAATCCATGCTTGTTGTTTGATGTTCCATACTTATGAATGCAAGTAGTATATTTCTCTAATTTGATGATGTGCATTGATTGTGGATTTAAAGGAAGGAATAATGGCTTAATTTGATATGTTATGCTAGTCACTAGTTTGGCTAGACAATGTAGACTTATTTAGTCACCCATGCTTGTTGAATCAATTAATGACACACACTTGTATTGCAACACATAATCCCCCTTTTTGATTAAACATTGAGTGTCTAGGAAGGTGATGTTTAGTGGTGACCTCTGAGTCCTAAGACCCGTCTATTATATTCTCTACATTTCTTTCTACTTCAATTGCTTTACTTTGTATCTATTTACCTTGCATTGTAGTTTAATTAACCAATCAAAACATCTTTGATCACTCGACCTATTAATCCAACGTTGATTTCCAAGCTAAATACACTCCATTTCCCTTGGGACGATCCTTACTCACCCTAGCTATATTTATAGTTAGAAGTGGTAGTGACAATCTCTAAATTTAAACTTGGCCACGCTACACTTTTCTTGCAACTAGTGTTTGGTTGACACCAATATGACTCTAAGTGAGTCATACAAGGTCAATAAGTCTAAATGGTTATTTGAGCCCATGCCACAAGGTTCTGGACACAAGAATAATGCTCTCACACAACTGGCCCTTCTTGGTTTAGAAGACTCTTGATAAGTGCTCAAATGTTGCACATTTTAGCACCTAAGTTAGGGTATTTTAGTCCATTCACCTATCTTACTTTCCCATTTTAGTTCTAATTTGTGTTTTTGTTTATTTTAGGTCAATAAGGTTCAAAGGCTAAAAAGAGCCTATTAGCCCCTTTTCGGAGTCAAGAAGAAAATCCAGAAAAAGTCATAAAAATTGCATTGGACAGTCTTCGATCGATTGAAGGAATTCCCAATCAATCGATAAGATCTTCGATCAATCGAAGTGAAGACAGTGCCAACTCAGTGGATAAGGTTGCCAGTTGTCAAGATATTTATGCCACGCCAGCTTCAATCGATCGAAGATACTGCTGGCAGTGAGCTGTTTTATTCCCAAGCGCACCCGAACTCCACCAAATTTTGTAGCTGCGAGATTTGCACCAATCAAAGGATAATTTCTAACTTGGCGACCACTTAAGGGATCTAGTATTTAAATGTAATTGAACCAATTGTATAGGGTTCCAAGTTTTTGTTCCAACTTTAGTTACACACTTTTGTATTCAATTAGTAAAGTTTCTTTCTCTAGACTAGGGTTTTTGGGAGCAAAGCAAAGATGAAGAAGATGATGCCTACATTAAAAAAGCCCTTGAGGGTTGGATGACAACAACTATGAGTGGCTAAATCCTTCTCTTAGGGCTAGAGATAACCCCTAGGCTTGCCTCCTAAACTTTAGAACTTTGTAATTTTTGGGGATTTTAGTTGTAATTGATGTTTTGACCTATAATTATATAAATTTTGTGTTTTTACATGATTTGTATAGATTAATTCTTCCAATTGATCTTTTATTTCTATTTATATGTCTATGTATGTTAGAATGAATGGTCATGTGCTTACACTTTATTTTATGAGTTTAATATATGTCTATGTGTGTTGGAATTATAAATCTAGTGATGGTCAAGGCATGGTGCTTAATTGATTATTCTTGTGGTTTATTTGATGGATTATTCTTATTTCTTGATGGATTGTGCTACCTCATTAGCTTAATTAGTTTAATTTCCTTGTCATTAATGTAATTGTAGTGAAGTTGCTTTAAATTCCTAGATAGGTAGACAATCCATACTTGTTGTTTGATGATCCATGCTTATGAATGCAAGTAGTACATTTCTCTAGATTTTTGTGTGTGTATTAATTATGGGTTTATTGAATGGTTAATGGCTTAATTTGATAGGTTGTGCTACTCACTAGATTGATTAGACAATGTATGCTTATTTTGCCATCCATGCTTGGTAATTCAATTAATGGAACACACGCTTAATTTACAACATGGAATCCCCCTAAATTGACAAATGCTAAATGTTTAGTTAGGTGAAGCTTAGTGGTGAACTCTATGCCCCAAGACTTCTCTCTCATTCTCTACACCTTAATCTTTAGATTGATCTTTAATTTGCATGTTTTTAATTAAATAATTAGCTTAATTTAACCAACTAAAACTCTCTTTGATCATTCGACTTACTAATCCAAATTCGATTTCGTAATACCTTACAAATCCCTTGGGACAATCCCTATTCACTCTTGCTACGTTAGTAGTAATAGTATAGTGGTTTTTATAAATTTAAATTTGACCAAAAAGGCTTTTCTTTAATCACACTCACATAATTTGGCATATGTGAGTGACGACACCACAAAACAACCCGTCAAATTTTGGCACTGTTGCCAGGGATTAGCAACGCTGTATTAGGAATTGAATCGGAATTAGTACTCTTTTGATCCTTGTTTTTATTTTATTTTATTTTGTTTTTCACTTTGTTACTCTTTGATTAGGTACTTGGAGCAAAAGAGAAATAAGCTAAGGGAGCCTCAAAGCAAGCTTAAAAAGAAAATAAGCTAAGTATAAAAAATTTAAATTGCAAAAGCAAAGCAAAAATGGCTTGAAAATTCTTAAAATTGCTTAAGAACCTTTGTGAGCGTTTCTAAACTCCTCTTGCTTAATTAATCATCGGCCTGGGTGGAGGCAATTTTATTTTATTGCTGATCATCGGCCCGTATGGAGGCAACTTAATTTCTTGTATTGTTGAAAGACATGGGAGTATGGGAACAATATATGTTTAGGTTTGTTAATTGATTTGTTATGGTGAAGGAGAAGTTATTGTGTTGTGGAGGAGAAGTGTATTTGCCCTTTGTTGTGTTTGTTGTTTACATTGACTTATTTTGTGCATGCATGGTCGTAGGTCTTTAAACCACCCTATTGTTCCTTTGAATCTTAATCTCGAGTCAATTGTGCGTAATCCAAGGGGTAGGGGTAATTCAAGTGAATCCATTGTATCAATGGACGATCATATTGAAGACCTTGGTTATGTAGACCAACGAGGCATGTTCATCCTATTGTGCAACAACATGATAATATGCACATTCCTCTTAATATGCCTAGACCTCTTGCTCCTCAACCTTAAGGCCAAGTTCCATTGGGAATGCCAAGGCCACTTTTTGTGCCACCTCCACCACTCATTGTCCAAGCTAATAATGGAGCTTATGTAAAGCCACCAATTACAAATGCTCCCATTGCTTTAAAAGATCACTATGTGCCTAATGAATATAATGCACCCACATGCATTCGTCTTCCTCCATTTAGAGCACATCATTATGAAATTAAACCACAAACCATCCAAATGCTCCCAAACTATTTTGGGCTAACCAATGAGGAACCATACAAGCATTTAGATGAATTTCTTAAAGTTTATTCCACCGTGCGTTATACAGACATGCCAGAAGAGGTATTAAGGCTTAAACTCTTTCCATTTACCCTAAAAGACAAATCAAAGTATTGGTTTAATAATTTGAGACCTCTTTCCATAACTTCTTGGGCAGAAATGCAACAAGAGTTTTTGAGGAAATATTATCCCATTTTCAAAACCAATGGCATGCGAACTTCTATTCCTGAGTTTTCATAAGGGGATGGGGAGATGTTACATGAGGCATGGGAACAATTGAATGACTTACTTAGGAAATGTCCTCATCACGACATTCCTAAATGCCAAATTTTCCAACATTTCTATGAAAGTTTGTCGAACACCCATAAAGGCATGGTTGATGCTTCAGTAGGAGGGTCTTATTTGGATAAGCATGAGGATGTTGTTTGGAGATTGTATGAAAACATGAGTGAAAACTCAATGCATCGATCATTGTCCTCTAGAAATGGTAGAAATTCCGTAGGAGGAAGGAAGAATTCGAGCTTATATCAAGTGGAGAATTCTAGTGACATAGTTATTGAGGTAAAGTCTTTAACTCAAAGGTTTGATCAATTTTTTATTAATCAAAATTCAGCTCATCAAGTGTCTTCCTCCCCTCATCATTATCATTCTAGTAAGTCTTGCATAACATATTCAAGTGTGCTACATACTACTTCCAATTGTCCCCATGGACATGTGTATAGTGAGCATCATGTACAAGTCAATGCCGTATTTGTGAATCGAGGGAATAATCCTTATGGAAAATCATTATAATCCTGGGTGGAGAAATCACCCCAATTTTTCTTGGAAAAGCCAAGGGGAAGGGTCAAATCCTCCCCAAGGTGGTTTTCAAGGGAAGTATGTTCCCCTACACTTGCAAGGTCATAATTCTCAAGGCTATCGTTCGCCTTATCAAGCTACCAATGTGAATTAATTTTTAAATTCTCAAGGTCCCAATTAACCATCTTATCCTCAAAGTCATCCTAGAAGTCCCACTTTTGAGGAAAAAGTTTTATCGGCTTTAGAACTTTGGAGGCCAACACTCAATTGCTTCATTCTCACTTACAATCAATTGCCAAGCTAGAAACCTAAGTAGGGTAAATAGCTAGCACATTGAATGCAAGAGAAAAAAGAAAAATGCCTCTTAATCCTGCACCTAAGCAAAAATTCGTAGTGGAGACAACTTCCCAACCGGAAGGTCCTTCACTTGAGCAAGTTAATGCGGTGACCACTTTGAGAAGTGGAAGGGTGATTGATAATCAAGTTAATGATTATAATGAAGGAAGTGAATCGATGCAACCTAGCGTTGACACCCGTCTCATTTCACATCCTATTCCTCTTTCACTTTGTAAAAAGGACCCTATTGTTGAGAATTCATCACCAAATGTTTTTGAAAAATCTTTTGAGCCAAATGCTCCATTTTCGGATGCTTTAAAAGCGTCCACATCTTTTGAAAGGCAATAAAGCAAGGTGAAAGAAATAATTGATGTGTTTTGGCAAGTCAAAATAAATCTTCCTCTCTTAGATGCCATTAGACAAATTCTGGCCTATGCAAAATTTTTAAAAGATTTATGCACTCTAAAGTGAAAGAACAAGAGCCAAGCACCAAATAAAGTTGTTTTCATGGAGCTAGTTAGCTCAATTTTGTAACACAACACTTTTCCCAAGTTCAAAAACCCTGGTTCACCTACTTCATCTTGCACCATAGGTGACCATGTCGTTAATCGGGCTTTTTTGGATTTTGGGGCAAGCAAGAATCTTCTTCCATACTCAGTATATGGTCAATTAGGTTTGGGCGACTTAAAGCCAACGTCGGTAGTTTTGCAACTAACCCGATCTATCAAAAAGCCCCAGGGTATAATTGAGGATGTTAACACAGAGCTGGTTGCCAATCCCTGTTATCCTTGGCCGTCCTTTCTTGGCTACCACCAATGCCAACATTAATTGTAGGACAGGGAAAATAAAGATTTCTTTTGGCCATATGAAGGTGAAGTTGAACATATTTAATCCAACCCCTAATTCAATGGACAAGTATGAAGAGATTCTTGTTGTAGAAAAAAGTTTTGAAAGAGAAGTTAAAAAAATTAAGTTATCTTCTCTTGTTGACAAATCAAATGTTTTAGCTTCAAATGTATCTTCAAAAGATGTCGTTTTGAACTCCAATGTTGAAAGGGCATGGAAGCCCAAAAATATTTTTGACCAAAATCCGTTAAGCATGCTTGATCCAAATCCAACAATTTCCATAGGGAATGATTCGTTGGGTGGGGTTCAAAGTTCATTTCACCCCATTGAGAAGGGGATGTTTAACAAAATTTTTGATCTGGGCTAAAAAAGCCCAACATCTTGTTAGAGACGTTAAACACTAGTCTTTCGTAGAGTTTTCCAACCCTATTCCTCCCTCATTTCTTCTTTTGGTATCTTTTGCGTCGTCTAGATATGTTTTGAGTTGATCATTCGAGTTTCTGAGTAGTTTTAAGCATTTTCTGCACTTTTCAGTGTTATCCACGATCGATTGAAGACTTATTTTGATCAATCGAATTCTGCTGAGCCCATTTTGCCTTGAAAACAGCTCTCGGGATCTCCCACTTTTGATCTATCGAGGTACCATTCAATCAAGCGAAGCCCTTAAATCAAACCTTTTCATCTTCTAGTTGATCAATCGAAACTGTTTCGATCGATCGAGGCATCATTTTGATCGATCGAGCACAAGGTACAATTCTTTTAATTCTCACTTTTGATGGATTGAGGTAAGTATTCGATTGATCGAAATGACGTATTTTCAAATTCTGAGAAAATTGCTTTAACCGTTGGCCTCCCAACCCTAATTTTTTTTTTTTTTTTTTATCTTTCTTTCTCTCTCCTCTCTCCTTTTTATCTTTCCCTTTTTCCTTCTTTTTCTTTCTTCTCATTCTCTCTCTTCCTCTATCACTCTCTCTTTCTCTCTTCCTGACTCCATCTCTTCCCTTTTCTCTACATCACCGAAACCACCACCATCCACCTCTCACCTCTCTATTCTCAGTCTGGTAACATCTAAGGAAGCCGCCGCAACGCCGGCGCGCCTTCTCTCAATCGAAAGCCACCGCCGTGGTTTCTCCATTAAATCTGGCGAAGCTCTTGGCTGAAACAGCCGAGCTCCCCATCTCCATTCTCTCTCTCGGTTGTTAATCTTTCTATTTCTTGTCTCCAACTAAAGGCTAAGGAGATCTTTCAACCATTGCCGGTAGAATTTCCGGCGACCTTCCATCTTCTCCGGTCACGGTTGGCCGGAATTTTTGAAGAATCTTCCTCTTTCTCTCAATGATTCATCTCCTCTAGTTTGATTTGGGTATGTTCTCAATTTTGAATTATTTTTGTTTTCAATTTTTATTTTTCATAATTTCCATTTTATTTTATTTTATCTATGTATATATGTTTGTTTATATTTGTGTTTAATTCTGGAAATCTAAAATTGAAAATACAAAAACATTTGGAAATTTTTAAAAAAATTATTATTAAAAAAGTAATATACATGAATTGAACTTTGACTGAAAGGGACTTTGGAATTTACTTATGCACTGTGATGTTGTTTAATGGAGGATTGGGCAAAAATTGAATGTATGGAGTTTGTGATGTTGTTGTGGAGTTGGGCAGAATTATGGGCTATGTCCCTTTATTGTGTTGAATGGAGTATGGGATTTAAAATGGTTGATGTATGGATGTTTAGAACTTGATTTTGATTATATATATGCATGCTATGTTGGACTTTGTTGAAAAAATATTTTGCTCCATATATATCATTTGAGAGGAACTAATGTTGAAATTTTTAGAAACATCTATGTGACGGCCCTGGTTTTTAGGCCAGCGCGTCATGTGATGAACTGAACGTAGATTCGATAACGAATCCAGAATGCAGAAGCAAGAAACAAGACAACGGTCTCCCAAGGCACAACATACCTCTATGACACTTTGATGACCTTCCATGAGGTCGTGGAACTCAATGAGAACTTATGTGAAAACAAAAGATAGGAAAAATAACAATTAAGCCCCTAGGGGCAAAATAGTCATTTATAAAACTATGGATTCAGGTGCCACTGAGCACACCGCTGGAAAGACAACGAAAAACTAATCAAGATGGACTCAAGAATCACATGATTCGGAGTCCGAACGAAGGAGAAATGGTAAGACGAAGAAAAACAAACACTTAAGGCTAAAAGGGTAAACTGGTAATTATCCATGAAGATTCGGGTTCAACCGAGCACACCGTTGGAAAGACAGCGAAAAATTAGTCAAGTTCAAAAAAAAAGTTCACTCGATTTGGAGTCCGGACAAGGGAGAAACATGGGTTTGAAGTTGAGACGTCACGGTGGCCCAACAAAGGCCATGGCAGCTCCATGCCCGCCCGGCGCCCATGCGCGCGCCCACCGGTGCCCCATGCGGCGTCCAAGGGCATGCATATACTGACAGCAAGAAAAAAAAAATGTGAGTTTCTAGAACTGAGACTTAAAATGGAGTCCGGAACGAGTTTTTCTGGAAAAACACGAAGAAGAAACCCCACCTAAAATCAAAATTCCTACCCGACAGCGTGGAAGGAAACAAGAAAAACACAATGTGAAATACCTGAAATGCCCCTAGATCAGAAGAGGTCAAGAGGGCCCAAAAAGATGTTACAGTGACTGTCCACATTTGAGATAAAAAACAGGCTACGAAACGATTTTTTTTGGAAAAACACAAAGAAGAAACCCCTCCCGGAATCAAATTTTCTACCTAGCAACATGAGAGAAAAGGAAAAAAAACTCGCTGTAAAATGCCCAAAATGCCCCTCCATAAAATCTGGTCATGAGGGTTAAAAAACTACTAAAATACAAAACAGAAAGCTGAACTTTGCGAGGGATTTCCGGTACCAAGATGACATTTTCTGGAAAAACACAAAGAAGAAACCCCCCCCCCCTCCAAAATCACGTTTTCTAAGTGACCATGTCAAGACCGGAATTTATTTCTGGAAGGAAAACCCCAAAATGCCTTAAAATTAGATTATACAATAAAAAATGCAAAATAAGTCCATAGGATGCTCAAATCACCAAGGATGAGGTTTTTCTTGAAAACAATCATGCACGTAAATGTAACTTACGTATTTGGACGTGCTACAATGGTCCACAGCTTAAAAATACCGCCGATGCAAAATCCGATCTCCCAACGGCCAAAAAGGCGAAAATGAACACGAAATGAGAAATTTGAAAACCAAAATTAACAAATGATTTCAAATTACCATTTGGCCCTTGGCCACACTTCGAACATGATTAATGAGACCCTATGGAAG